TTAATTGTATTATTGAATTGGTAATGTTGAATGCTTGGGGTTTTTTTTGTGCAGGATTTTTCGAGTTTTCAAGTTTCATTTTGCGCATGGAACCTGTTTGTTTCAGGAACGAGAACAAGTCAAAAATGTGCTATTGGATGAATCGGTTATGGAAGGACTTGATCTGGAGAAACGCAGTCAGAAACTCAACGAATTATTGGGACGTGGCGAGAATCGTAAAAATATCGATCTATGGTTCAAATTTCTGGCCGTTCAAGTGAGTTCTTTCGCAATTGCAGTCTGGAAAGGAACGCAAGCAACTGACTTATGTTTAAAATAGATTTCGAGATGGAATGAATAGTTTGTGAGGAATGCACAATAAGAATTACATTAGTTGTTTGGTTATAAAATGTCAATTGGTAAACGAACAGGAGAGCAATAAAATTGGTCGAATTGATGAACGAAATAAAATGAGACGTTTTAATTAATATAATTCTTGAGTGTTTTGATAAAGAAACGAAAATGTCTATTGAAACGAAGTAAGTTTGGATTAGTTAAAAGAGACAATAGAATGGATTTTGAGACAGTAGAAGAAAGCTGGAAGAGATATTCACATGAAGAGAATGAGGTGAGGTAAAAGCGGAGGCATGGGAAATGGGCACTGTGAAATGGATGTTTTATTTGATTGAAATAGAGTTTGGGATGGATTTTCAGGATCAATTGCATCTGCAGCGAACAGAAGTGGGTGAGGGTAATCGTCGTCGAGGACGGAACGAGCGTTTAACAGATGGATTACTCTTGGATAGGAAACTGGCAATCTTGGAAAGGGTATTTGAAATTTGATGATTAGCAGGGCGAAGAGTTCTAGATCAAGTTAGATGCCGTCTCGGACCCTGAGTGGTTCGGTCGGTTCATAGACTTAAGGTTGAGAAACCGTGATGTAGAAGGATAAATGTTCGATACAAGAACCTAAAAATAATTGTTTCTGAATAAGTTGAAGGTGAAGGAGACAGCATATTGTTGGTGGAATATATGTGAAAGATGTTGAGTGGACAGGAGATTACTCTTGAATGAATATAAAAAGTATAGTGCATGCATGCATGTATGAATGGATTTGAAGGCATTGGAGTCGAATCCGGAATCATTTG